CAACCAAAAAATGGCCAGGCCAGACGGGTTAACAGTCAAGTTTTACCAGATGTACAAAGAGGAGCTGATACCATTCCTTTTGAAATTATTCCAAACAATACAAAAAGAGAGTCCTCCTTAACTCATTTTATGAGACCAACATCATCATGATACCAAAACCCAGCCGAGGCACAACTAAAAAAGAAAACTTCAGGCCAATATCCGTAATGAACAAAGATGCAAAGGTCTTCAATAAAATATTGGCAAACCCATTGCAACAGCATATCAAAAAGCTTATCCATTACAATCAGGTAGGCTTCATCCTGGGGATGCAAGGCTGGTTCAACATACTCAGGTCTATAAACATAATCCACACATAAACAGAACCAAAGACAAAAACCACATGATTATCGCAATAGATGCAGAGAAGACCTTCGACAAATATCAATAGCCCTTTATGCTAAAAACTCTCAATAAACTAGGAATCGATGGAACATATCTCAAAATAATAAAAGCTATTTACAACAAACCCACAGCCAATATCATACTGAATGGGCAAAAACTGGAAGCATTTCCTTTGCTATTGGGCACTAGACAAGGATGCCCACTCTCACCACTCCTATTCAATATACTATTGGAAATTCTAGCCAGAGCAATCAGGCAAGAAAAAGAAATAAAAGGTATTCAATTAGGAAAAGAAAGTCAAATTATCTCTATTTGCAAATGACAAGATTGTATATCTAGAAGATCCCATCATCTCAGCCCAAAATCTCCTGAAACTTGAGCAAAATCTCCTTAAGCTGATAAGCAACTTCAGCAAAGTCTCAGGATACAAAATCAATGTGCAAAAACCACAAGCATTCCTATGCACCAATAACAGACCTAAAGAGAGCTAAATCAAGAACAAACTGCCATTCACAATTGCTACAAAGAGAATAAAATACCTAGGAATACAACTAACAAAGGATATAAAGGACCTCTTCACAGAGAACTACAAACCACTGCTTGAGAAAATAAGAGAGGACACAAACAGATGAAAAACCATTTCATGCTCATGGTTAGGAAGAATCAATATTGTGAAAATGGCCATACTGCCCAAAGTAATTTATAGGTTCATTGCTATCCTCATAAAGCTACCTATGATCCTCTTCACAGAACTGGATAAAAACACTTTAAACTTCATATGGAACCAAAAAAGAGCCCACATAGCCAAGACAATATGAAGCAAAAAGAACAAAGCTGGAGGCATCATGCTACCTGACTTCAAACTATACTGCAAGGCTACAGTAATCAAAACAGCATGGTACTGGTACAAAAACAGAGATATAGACCAACAGAACCGAACAGAAGCCTTGGAGGCAATGCCACACATCTGCAACCATCTGATATTTGACAAATCTGATAAAAACAAGCAATGGGGAATGGATTCCTATTTAATAAATGGTGTTGTGAAAACTGTCTAGCCATGTGCAGAAAGCAGAAACTGGACCCCTTCCTTTCACCTTACACAAAAATTAACTCCAGATGGATTAAAGATTGAAACATAAGACCTAACACCATAAAAACCCTAGAAGAAACCTAGGCATAACCATTCAGAACATAGGCATAGGCAAGGACTTCATAACTAAAACACCAAAAGCATTGGCAACAAAAGCCAAAATAGACAAATGGGATCTAATTAAACTCCACAGCTTCAGTACAACAACAACAACAACAAAATCATTAGAGTGAACTGGCAACCAACAGAATGGGAAAACAGTTTTGCATTCTACCCATCTGACAAAGGGCTGATATCTAGAATCTACAAAGAACTAAAACAGATTTACAAGAAAAAATCAACCAAACCCATTCAAAATTGGGTGAAGAATATGAACAGACACTTTTCAAAAGAAGACATATATGAGACCAATGCTCCTCATCGCTGGTGATTAGAGAAAGGCACATCAAAACCACATTGAGATACCATCTCACACCAGTCAGAATGGCGATCATTAAAAAATCTGAAAACAACAGATGCTGGAGAGGATGTGGAGAAATAGGAACACTCTTACACTGCTGATGGGAGTGTAAATTAGTTCAACCATTGTGGAAGACAGTGTGACAATTCCTCAAGGATTTAGAAATAGAAATTCCATTTGACCCAGCAATCCCACTACTGGGTATGTTCCCAAAGGATTGTAAATCATTCTATTATAAAAACACAGGCACACGTTATGTTCACTGAGGAACTGTTTACAATAGCAAAGACCTGGAACCAACCCAAATGCCCATCGATAATAGACTGGACAAGGAAAATGTGGCACATATACACCATGGAATACTATGCAGTCATAAAAAATGATGAGTTCGTGTCCTTTAGGGACGTGGATGAATCTGGAAATCATCACTCTCAGCAAACTGATACAAGAACAGAAAATGAGACATCACATGTTCTCACTCATAGGCAGGTGTTAAACAATGAGGACACAGGACATAGGGAGGGGAGCATCACACACTGGGGTCTGTTGGGGGGAACTAGGGGAGGGACAGCAGTGGGTGAGGAGGTTAGGGAGAGATAACATGGGGAGAAATGCCAGATACAGGTGACAGGGGGATGGAGGCAGCAAACCACTTTGCCGTGTATGTACCTATGCCACAATCCTACATGATCTGCACATGTACCCCAGAACCTAAAGCACAATGAAAAAAAAAAATACCAATTTAAAAATGAAATAAATAAATAAATAAATAAAAGTAGTAATAGAAATATTTTCAACAGACGCCTTTGCCACCAGTTCATTGGCAAAGCTGTCCAGACAACGGCAGCTTCTATTGCCACCATCCTTCCTCTCTTTCTGAATAATTCTCTGTCCCCAGTAGTTCAATATTTTCATGTTGCTTCTAGATCGTTTCAAATCTCCCACCTATGCTTGCTCCATTAAAGTGGCTCAGGCTTTGAAATGGCCTAGTCTCTGTGGTTAACTTAAATGTTCAGAATTGTTTTGTTGTTTTTTTTTTTTTGAGATGGAGTTTCACTCTGTTGCCCAGGCTGGAGTGCAATGACATTATGTCACCTCACTCCACCCTCCACCTCCCAAGTTCAAGCAATTCTCCTGCCTCGGCCTCCCAAGTTGCCGGGGTTACAGGTGTGCACCACCAACCACGTCGAGCTAATTTTTGCATTCTTAGTAGAACGAGGTTTCACTATGTTGGCCAGGTGGTGTTGAACTCATGACCTCAAGTGATCCACTGGCTGTGGCCTCCCAAAGTGCTGGCATTATAGAGGTGAGCCACTGCACCTTATCTTCAGAAATTTTTTATCCAATTATGGTAATAAGACAGTAATATGGTCATTAACTTGTAAACCTTGCAAGAAATCTTGAATTTTCTTCAATGAATTGTTTTTGAATCTTATAAATGAAGACTTTTTATCAAAAACAAGGACAAAAGAAAGCAAAAGTTAGAAGTAGAGAACAAAAAGAAAACAAATAACCATAACCAGTATTCTAGACATGTCACTGTTGTCATTTTGAGATGCTTTGATTTTAGTTTAATTTCTGGTATGTTTTAATATCATTGAGTTCCTATTTATAAGTCATACTCTTATTTTGTTTGGTGTTATAGCATTTTCAGTTTGTTGTGTCATTTTAAAAATCATCCTAAATTTCATATTCATGTTTGCTCAATAATCTTTCACATCATATTCCTCTTGAATGTAATTCATATATGATAAGGTGAAGATGTAAGTTGTTTTCACTTTCTCTTCTTTAAGGAATAATTTGCTAGTTGCCCAGAACAAAAGTAACCTCTCTCTCCATTTTCCGATTTGTGCTGCCTAAGTTTGATTGCATGGTAAGATGCTCTGAGGTTGTTATCCTGTTTTATTTTTTCAGGTATTTTCCTACCAATATTAAGAATTTTTATTTTTTAACTTCATATGTAGTACTTTTACTCTCTGGGAATGTAGATTTCTGCATATCTTAGTTTCCAGATCATCTGTTTTCATATGAAATTTTAGAGACTGTATTAGGCAGTTTTTGCATTGCTATAAAGAAATACCCAAGACTGGGTAATTTATACAGAAAAGAATTTGGCCTGGCACGGTGGCTCACACCTGTAATCCCAGCACTCTGGGAGGCAGAAGCGGTTGGATTGCAAGGTCAAGAGATTGAGACCATCCTGGCCAGCATGTTGAAACCCCATCTCTACTATCTGCTCAGCTTCTCCGGAGGCTTCGGGGAGGCTTTACTCATGGTTCAGGCAAAGGAGAGCAGGGGCAGGGCACATGACATGAGCGGGAGCAAGAGAGTTGGGGGAGGTCCCACAACAGATCTCGGGAGAACTCACTGGCTATGGTGAGAACAGCAGAAAGACAAGAGGGAAACCCTCCCACATCCAGATGCCTCCCACCAGGCTCCACCAACACTGGGGATTACATCTCAACAGGAGGGTTGAGACGGATATCCATACTGTATCAGAGGCTACTTTTGAAAGTTCCATGTTTATTCGCAAAAAGCTTTTCATAATATTATCATATCTTTTTGATTCTGATAAAAATACAAATCATAAAGTTACCATCTTAATCACTTTCAGGGCCCAGTACAGTTGTGCCACAGAGGGCATCTCAAAAAACAAGTTCCTAGTAGGTAGCAGGTATGGCTGAGACACTTTGAGGAGTCGCCAGATCTCAAGCACTGCAGCCAGGGCTCTCCTGCTTCTTTCTTCATTGTGCCGAGTCCCTAGTGAATAAAAGGCGCCATGCAATGCCTGCCCTTACTAAGATTCGACGTTGCTCTTCCCGGGGCTCCTCCGGAGGGTCTGCAGATTGCTTCGCATCCCACTTGCTGCGACATGCAAAAGCAGGGATCTGAGACTGTGGTCGCCCAGCAAAATGGAACTGACTAGACGGGTCTCTCTTGCTCTCACTCTCTGCTCTTTCTTCTTGGCACTGTTGCCCTCTCTGGCCATTAAAGAAATAACCTAGAGGAGATTGTGACACCCCATCTAACACGACGTTATTGTCTTTACTTCTTTCCCCACAGACTGTAGGAGAAGAGGACAGTTCAGAGCAGTGACACAAGAATCTCAAAAGAAACGCTCAGCTCAACACAGCTATCCTGATGAGAAAGATACGGAGTTAAGCCATCTAAGAAGTGGGTATGTATAGAAATACCCCATTTCGTTAGTCAACTTACTATAGATTTACTTGAAACCTACAATTTATTTTTTTTCTTTTTTAAGAGAGACCACAGCTAATATATTTACATATAGGAGGAATCACATGAAAAGGAGCAAACACAGAATTAATTCTGTAACGTGTTTGGGTTCCATTCCACTCTGCAGTATTCCAGCCAGAGCGCATTTGGCAATGAATTTTTCTCAATAAAGTGCAGAAAACTGCATGCATTAGATGCTAGTTTCGACTCCTTAAATTACATTATGAATTGATATTTTTCAGATTCTTTTTGAAACTATGAAACTTCATATTGTTTGTGGAAGAGGTAATCGTATTTGTTAAGTTAATTCATGTTAAATTGATTTGAATTCATTAATAGTATACAGCAAGGAAGTCTTGATTTGTGACCAACATGGAATATTCTAGAACTCTGACCAACATGGAATATTCTAGAACTCTGACCAACATGGAATATTCTAGAACTCTCAGAAAACTCAGTCTTATTCCTTTGAAATCCCTTAGGACTTCTTTTGTGAAGCTTGTATACTAGCTTGGTACAGTGTTGCTTTAGAAAGTTTCTCCTCACCATTGACTTGGAAGCTTCTGAAAGCGGAAACACTACCTTGTGCATAGATATGTCCAGTAGCTCCTTTCTACTGAATAACGAGTCTGTACATACTTGTGAAACTAAGCCACCAAAATAAACATTGCGATTCACAGCTCCATAGGCGATGCAAGTTTTTCAAGGACCCACGTGTTCTGTTTTTGTCATCCATAGCTGCCTCCTAATTCAGGAGGCAAACTCAAAGTCCATTTTTGGCGTCCATTTCTTCAATTACAGCTGTAAACCTGAACAATATACGCACCCTGTACTCTAGGATTTGGAATTGAGGAGAGGGGATAGTGGTGTTGGATAGGAAGGGTCAAGGCTTTAGAGTCAGGCACGTGGATTCAAATCCTACTTCTACTGCTTCATAACTATGCATGTGACACAAAATTTCCAAATCTCCATTTCCTTGGCTGTAAAAGACCTACTTTACAGGGTGACTGTTTTAACCTGAGGATACCTAAGTACAGCACTGAGTACTGATACAGAAGCCAGCACTTTGCCGCATTCTGTAACACACATTCGGTAACGACTCGGGTTGTCGTAGCGTTCACTGCCTGCCAAACACTCTTTTAAGCATCCAACAAATATTATGCAAGTGCTCACATGAATACTGATGTGAACTCAATCATGGAGTGAGTCATGCAGGACAAGGGGTGATTAATTCTGACTGGGGTCCTTCAACAGGATAGACAGAGGAGGAATCTTGAAGGATAAGCTAGGATTTCGAAAGTATTTAGGGGAGTCCCAGTCTGAAAGAATAACATGAGCAAAGGGAAGTGAGGTGTGTTTGAAGAATGATAAGGCTCATACGTCTAAATGAGTTCATCTCAAATATTCGGGAAGCTGAGGTGGGAGGATTGCCTGCAGCCAAGAGTTTGAGATCAGCCTGGGTCACACAGTGAGACTCCATTTTTTAAATTAAGAAATTAGCTGGGCATGGGAGCGTACACCAGTAGTCCCTGCTATAGGGAGGCTGAGGCAGGAAAATGCCTTGAGCCCAGAAGTTTGAGGCTGCCGTGAATTATGGTCATGGCACTGTACATCCTGAGAGATAGAGCGAGACTCTGTCTATAGACTTATAAAAAACAAACAAAAACCCCAAACTGGTTGAATGAATGAATGAATGAATGAATGAATGAGTTGGTGTGTTCAATAACTAGGAATGAAGGGCATTCTTCCAGCGTGTTCTAAAAGAAGGTCAAAGCAAAGAGTGAAGCTGTAAATACCAGGGTAAGGAAATGAAGTACATTTTACGTGTTCCTGGAGCTACTCTCTGCAAGGTAATTAGAACACTGATCAGGAGTTGGAGTCTTAGTGAGAACCATTTTTAAATAATCTGAGTGTTGGGAAACATTCACTTGGCTCTTTTATTCGTCATTTCATCTCTTTTCCATTGATTTAGGTGAAGCGTTTTTCCAGTGTGTCATCAGAAGTGGGCACCAGACTCACATATTGGAGGGCAGTCCCCCTTGTTTTATAAGACGGCGATGGGGACTGGGCTTTCTAGTGGTGTCCACAAGCTCAGGCCTATATAACAACACCCATTACTACCTTCTGTCCTTTCTACAGCCGCACCCAGGTCCCTCCACAAACACTCATGTTGCTTGTTTCTGAGATAAAAGGAACTTGTTCTCTAAACACTGAATACTCTGGGTGGGCCCATTGAAGCCCTGCCCAAATGTGGCCTCAGCTGAAGATTGGTTAATTTCATTTTTAGCCTCTGCCAATCTTATCAAACTTGTACTCAAAGGCACACCTTACAATCAGCAGTTCAGTTTGTCATTAATCTGACAATAAAAAGATAAAAAGAGCTCTGATTTGTTTTGTTTTATAACACACACCTTAGTAATCCTTTATGGATGCTTTCTGTTGTGCTTAAATGTGCCACAGTTGTTTAGATCAGAGGAGGTCTAATTCCCTCAACCCACACGCACCAATAACTGATGTTGTAATGTCACTTTTTGTTTTCTCTGTGTGTCTATTTTTCTTGTCCTTATCCTCTCCTCTGTCCTTTCTTTTCTCTGTCTTGGTCACAAATTTGAACCCTCCTTTCAATACCCTATTCAAGGGTCTTTTCTTATAAGCAATATGTTGAGTTTTGTGTTTTCAGTAAGAATCTGAAATACAGCAACATTCACAGTGTCTTGGGTTTTTGTCTTTCGTTTTTACAATAACCTTCCTACCTGGGCTCCTTACCTCACTTCTCTCCTACCAAATTGTCTAAAATATGAATCTGATCATTGTTGAAATGACCCACCACACTCTATGGGTGGAAAATAGACTGTGTACTGATTAAGAGCAAGGCTGATTTCTTTTTCTGAATTCTAATCTGCATCCCAGCTGTGCAGTTTAACAGCTGTGTACATCGTGGACATGTTCATAGTTTTCCAAGCTGCAGTATTCTCACCGGAGACACAGGCTAGTTAAACTATCTCACAGAATTATTGGGCAGTTAAATGACACAAAGTGCACGGTGGCACTTCGACTCCTGCCTGGTGCAGAGCAGGCACTGACGTGGGCCTGACATGGGATTCTCCTTATCCAGCTTCCCAGACTCATTCCTGCTCTGCTCCCAGGCAGAAGGCATTGCCTTCTTATTTATTTATGCATTCATGTTTGTTTGACACTACTGGGGATTTTAGTCTTCATATTGTGTGCTTTTCAGAGCTTTCTAAATGTTTTTCTCAATCAGAAATCAAGAACGCAAAGTAAGTTTTGAGATAAAAAAGATCTATTTTCCTGATGAATTTAAGTGGTATTTTTACTTCTGCACTTCTGCTCTAAAGACTTTTTCTAAAACAACATGTGCCACCTTTGCTGTGGAAAAAACCTATTTGTAAATGAAATAATAAAAATATAAAGAATTACATTAAAGTTTATTCTTATGAATCTGATTGATCCGTCCCCTATTTTTTAATTGAGCACTGATAACTTTTATCCTTTACTGCGTTTTGCAAATCTTCTTAAATAACATATAATGTTTTTAGGGGTAAAAACCTATCTTCGATGTATTTTATTTTATTGCATTAATTTATTTTTTATTGGGATAAGAACACTTAATATGAGATCATACCTCTTAACACATTTGTAAGTGTACAATACAGTGTTCTTCATCTGTCCATTGATAGACACTTAGATTGTTTCTATATCATAGCAATTATGAATAATGCTGCAGGTCACAGGGGAGTGCAGACATCTCTTTGATATCGTCATTCCAGTTACTTTGGCTGTATACTCAGAAGTGGGATTGCTAGATTACATGGTAGTTCCATGTTCTTTGAGGAGTCTCCACACTGTTTTCCTCAGTGACTATGCCATTCCACATGTCCACCAACATTGTGTAATCCTCACAGACATTTGCTATCTTTTGTTTTTTGGTAATAGTCATCCTACCAGGTGTGAGGTGCTATGTCACTGTGGTTCTAGAGGACATTATGCTAAGTGAAATTACCCAGTCACGAAAGAAAGATATCACATGGTTCTATTTATACAAGGTATCTAAAATAGTTGGACTCAAAGAGGCAGAGAATAGGATGGTGGTTGCCAGGGGCTAGGAGGAGGGAGAAATGGAGAATTGTTGCTCAATGAGTAACGAGTTTTACTTATGCAAGACAAGTAAGTTCCGGAGATTTGCTGTACAACCTAAGTACCCACAGTTGATATATGGCACTGTACACTTTCAAAGATCTCATATTTAAGTGTCATCATAAAAACAAATAAAAACCAAAACGAATCACATGCACACATGAAAAAACCTAAGGAAATTTTTGGAGGTGGTGGTGTGATTACTCTGCAGTGTCACAGGTGTATACGCCCATGTCCAAACTCATCAAAATGTACACATTAAATATATGTGTTTTTGTATCATTTGTACATCAGTAAAGCTTAAAATGTAGCATTATTGCCTGTAGGTACAAAGTTGTATCTCTTATCTGTCTTCCTAGTGCAGATGTTAGATGTCTTGCTTGCTGGCCAACTGATCTGTTCCGAAAGAATGTGAAGCGCCTACTGGAAGCACCTTCACATCCTGCACCCATCTGCCTGAGCGTAATGCCTGATGTGTGGGCCATACCCATATATACTTGTGAAATCGTTCATATCGTGCTACTCCACAACATCTGGTCTCATGATCAGCCGCTTCCCTATGTGCCCACATGTGGTCTTTTGACTCGGTTATATCTTCATATACTCATTCAGGCTTCTTCAGGATTAAATACCTTGGATTAGACACTGAAGATTTACGGGAGAGAGCTATGAAAACAAAAGGGTCCAATCATTTGCATTGATAGTATCCCTAGCAACACTTGTACATTAAGCCATTTTAACACAGTCCTGCACAGAACCTAGCATGCCGTCAGTATTGATTCACGGTGTTCACAGTGTCTCAGAGGACATGGAGTTATCCAGTAACTAAGCCACTGCTCTTGGTAACTTTTGTTATTGTTCCATATTTCTCCTTTCTTAATTCCCTGACTGCTGTAAGCTCTATAATGTGTCTCTGGTTTATACATTGTTTTACAGGCTCATAGAATGTACTGGTTCTGGTAAGCCGTTTTCTCAGTAAACAATGGAAGACATATTTCAAATAGAATAAAGCAGAATGATTTTGAAAGTTATAATAGTTTCTTCACAAGAAATACCTTTCTTTTTTTTACTTTAGGTGCATACCATATGTGGCATTTCTCCCCATGTTATCCCTCCCCACCCTCCCCACCCACCGCTGTCTCTCCCCTACCCCTGCAACTGCCCCCAGTGTGTGAGCCTCCTCTCCCTGAGTCCACGTGTTCTCATTGTTCAACACCAACTTTTTACATTTGGAAAAAACCCCTGAAAACTTGAAACAGATATCATGCCTAATAAATCAAATCTATCTAAAAATATTTTAACAATACATCGTAATTGTAGATGGAAAGAACTTCATTTCTATTTTCCAAACTAGTTATTGGCTTCTGTTTTTTGAAAACTGCAGCAAACTCTAAGAAACATATCTTAACTCAGTCCAAGATTTCCTTAGATCCTTTCATTATCAACAAGGATGAGCTATTTTGCATCAGGTGTAAAGCTAGATTTTCATCGCTCAGAATATCCTTATCTTACTTTAGTTCTTGCCCTGAATCTATAATAGAGAAAGCAACTTTCCTACCTGGCTACTGCATAGCACGTTGTATTAAATTTGTCACTGCTCTTTCACTGTTTAAAGTGCAATGAGGAATTCATTAGCAAAAGACATACTTTAAGATCTAAACAATATATCAAATATAGGAGTAACACAACATGACATTCCCTTTATGTCATAAGAAACACTTTATCATTTTAGTTGAACTACGTGAAGTAGACGTGACACTCTGGATTATAATTTTATGTGTCATTTAACTTTAATTTCTAATCTCACTCATACTGTTTTCCTTCCGTGATCACACAGAACACCGGTCACAATGCCTTGTTCATGCCAAATGACCAAAGAAGATTTGATGATATTTTAAAATTCTCACACTTTTACTTTTCAGCATTTTATTTGCTTCTTGTTATAAACAGGCAACAAGATAAAATGTATGTGGGTGAAGATACTAGAAATGCGGCAGTTCTGGCAGAAACAGAGTTCTCCCAGGATTTCAGCAAGTTCGCAGCAGAAATTCGGGAAACCATCACAGCACTCAGAGAGCAGGTTTGTTTTCTCCTCAAATAACGTGTCCTTATTGTATGCCTTGGAATAATTAGACACAACTGTCCAGTAACTCTCCACAATTACAGCACAGTATCAGAATAAGAGGAACTTGTATTGTCTTTTTTTTTTTCTGTTTTTACTTTTGTTTTTTTAAAGATACAGTCTTGTTCTGTTGTCCTGGCTGGAGTGCAGTGGCACAATCCTGGCTCACTTGTAGCCTCTGTCTCTTGGGTTCATTGATTCTCATACCTAAGCATCCTGAGTAGCTGGGATTACAGGCACCAGTCACTACACTCAGCTAATTTTTCTGTTTTTAGTAGAAATGGGGTTTTGCCATGTTGACCAGGCTGGTCTTGAACTCCTGGCCTCAAGTGATTCCCCCACCCTGACCTCCCAAAGTTCTGGGATTATGGATGTGACCCACTGCATCAACAGGAAGTAGTATTGTAATAAGTATTGAGGTAGGAAAGGAGGACTTGGGGAAACTCACACGTCAAACAGGCAGAGGGTCTTATCCTCTCTACCTAGTGCTCAGGGGTCCGACGGGCATGAATTTGGTTGGCAGCAGCTCCGCTCAGTGCTCCCAAGTGCCTCACCAGCAATTTTTTGAATAACTGTGAGCTTGATGCCTGCTTCATATCCACAGATGGAGATCATTTTTAACAGCACGACATATACTTTTCATATCAATTTTTCCTGTAGTGGAGTCAAAGAAGCTTCTTCAGAATTACTATTTTCTCTTTCTGACAAAGTTATAGAAAACATTCCCACACCCTGCTCTAGTTTTGCTTATCTTGTCAGTTGTTCAGGCTCATTCCTTATTTCATTTTCTCAAAAACTTGGGGATGAGTCAACAAGAAGGAAAAACAGTTATATTAGAAGTAGCCATGTTGGTGTTTTTATTAAAAATATGTCCGATTTCTTTCAAGGCATGGTGCCAAGCTCTCTGCTTCTCAGACAGTAATGTCCCTTGAGGTCTATGCTTTTCTTCACAGCCTCAAGTCTTGAAAGCAGAAAGCACTGTATGAGGATGGACTGAGCCCGGGGTCTGCATCAGGAAGTTCTGCCCTCACTATCGGTCTGGCCCAGGCAATGTATTTAGTCATTCAGAACAAGTATCCTCATCTGAACTTCAGGGCTATTGTGAGGATCCAAAGAGATTCTAGAACAGAAGCGCTTTGCGAACTATAAGGCCCTTAAAATATGATTGCTCCTTTCGGATGTAAGTGCATCTAGTCCCAGGTAGAGGGCTGTGATTACCTGCTGCATATACTGCCCTGAGAGGCTCACATTGAGAGGCTAAGCTGCCTTCAGCTGCGGTCCATATCAGTGCCTTCCCTTGACCAGAAATACCCACCATTGAAATCACTTGTCCAATCTGAATCTGAGCAGCAATCTGAAAGACGTGAGGCACTGCCTCTAAGAAGGTTACCCTTAAGATAGATAGATGCAATGGCTGGGGTGCCTGAGAACTTCGGACATGAGAGAGTCCAGAAAATCCTGTTTCCTCCCAATGAGTTAATGTGTGTCAAAGAAGAGAAGTTTCAGCAGTGAAGAAGAGTCCTCAGCACTGGGCTAGAGAAGGTGTGCCCAAACAATTTAAACATCAACTCATATGTCACTCAACAAACTATTTTTCATAAATTTGATTAATGGACTTACAGTCAGTCACAGGTAGAATCCACAAGCAACTTTCAGTTCAATTTCAATTTCATTACATGTCGTTGGTGATGACTGTGTATTTGATATGTGCTGTAGTGATTAAAAACATCCCAGACACCCCAAGACTGCAGTCGTTGCCCCTTTTAGGTGTTTAGTAGCATTCTTAGTACTTATCTCTAAATGTATCAGGATGGACTGTTTTTGCCTGTTTAATTGTCTGTCTCTTTCATTCTATCGTTAATTTTTTAATAGTTGAGACTGTTTCACAGGAGTATCTTCAGAGCCTGATGCATAGTCCATGTTTAAAAATAGCCAGTGTCTTTGTGTTGGAGAATGAAAAGTTAGCTCTAGATCTATCCATGATCTAAGGTGTGTGACAGGCTGGGCAAGGTTGCAAGAGAGAACTAGAAGGTCCTGTGATCCTCACAGAAGTCAGAGACTTCCTCAAGCTATGAGCGGCCTGCAGAGGTGGAAAGAAGTTGCAGCAGTGCCCAGTGCCTCATGCACAGTGACTGACGTGTAGCAAATGCCCGACTGAAAGGGTTTAAATAATAAATAAACACGACATAACACCAGCAATAAGGAATACTGACTGAAGCCAGAAATCAACCCAGGTCATCTAAAGAGGATTGAGAAAAATAAAGAACCCAGGATAGACAGCAATGATAAACTTCAGGCTTCCTGGGTGACTGTCAAATGCAACTCTACTTGTGTGGGGAGCACCCAAAGGTAGATGGGGATGATGAAGACAGGCTTTGTGGGGGCAAAGGGTCTTTTGGGATGTGGCGAGCCCCGAGGATTTGTGAAATTAGCACTTACTACTGACCTGTCACTTACTATACTGAGACATAAATTTTGAGGGCCCACATTGAAAGGTAGGTTGTGACCGCAAGCCTGTTAGCTAGAGGACATTTCTGATTGTGCCGTGTATGCCACTTTGTGGTTTGTTCTATTACTCACCAGTGTGAATGCAGGAAGTTCTGTGAAAAGTTTGCATTTTGCAAAAACCCTTTGTTTTATGAAAAATGAGCGTAGAGATAAAGGGCATGCATATTTCCGGAAACGAAATCAGCGAAGAAATCGATTAAACAGAACCTAGAATGTTTGAGAGTCTGTTTCCCATAATGGGCTTCATCATGAGAGATTACTAATGTTCTCGAGGCTCATCCCTTAGGTATGAGAGGATTCCAAACTTCGGCCAAAGATTTCTAACCTTCACTTCCCAACTCTAGGTGACATTACGTTTATGGGCTACGACACAGGGTCAGTCTTGACGTTTCACACTGTTGAAGTTTTACCTTTGTTAAGTGACTTTGGACTGTCTAGGAATGATACGTTTTGGTCTTGATTTATTAACTGTGATGGCATCGAAGTAACAAAAGTGGTCTGCAAATTTCCATGACATGTTATAGCTCCTGCGTGGGTAGTGGGGTTCAGTAAGTTATATGTGCCCATTTCATTTCATTCTGATTACTGTGGGAATAACTAGAGCCATAATTATACTCTGAACATTTTGTTGTTTAAATTTGAGATTATATCTAGTTTATCTGACTGTGGAGAGGTCATGGATGTGTGTGCCAGTTAAGTAAAACAACTAAACAAACTAACATAAACAGACATGTGGAGAGCACTGTGCTAGTCACTATAATTTGTTAATCTAAAATGAATCATTAGGTCTGGGAAAAAAAGGCATAAATTAGAACTGTTGCAGAAAATCTAGCATCCTCACTTTATTAAACACGTAAAGGTAGGTGGTTGAAAGGAAGGAATAAAAGACACCTCAGAGGCTTTTTTAAAATTAGGAGACAGGTAATGTCATTACTAAATAACAGTTACAGAAAACGAAACCGTGAAGGCTGAAGAGGTTGTGACTTACTTAAGGAACAGAGTGATGCTCCGTGTCTGGAGATTGGCTAATCAGGATTGTCAAAGCAACGTACAAGGTGGCTAGTAAGGAAGAAACCCTCTGGATGAGAAGACCTAATAAGCTCACATTAGATTTTCTTCTGGAGTCTAAGTAATGAGGAAGCTGTCAGGGGAATTTAGGGATGGGAATGTTGCTTTGTATTTGGATTTAAATAATTTAATCTGGTTGCTGCGTGAGAACTGAATAAAGAAAGACAAAAGAGGCCACAGCGGTCAGCATCCTCCAGAAGTAAGAGGATGCTGGCTTAGGCTGTGGTGTTGATATTAAGAAAAAAAAAAGAGTACACTTTTTGTAGAGATAATTGTGAAGTACAATGGTCATAACTTGGTTATTGAGTGTGTTATTGGAACTCCCCTTGATGTGGAACAGCTTCTGCCAACAGTGAGGATCTTATGTGGAAACTCATGAGAGTACTCCTTTGCTGTGGACAGAGGTACTCACACGGGTGGGAATTGATGTGGACAGAGGGAGACGCGGTACTCACACAGGTGGGAATTGATGTGGACAGAGGGAGACGTGGTACTCAGACAGGTGGGAATTGGTGTGGACAGAGGGAGACGAGATATCCACACAGGTGGGAATTGATGTGGACACAGGGAGACGTGGTACTCACACGGGTGGGAATTGATGTGGACAGAGGGAGACGTGGTACTCACATGGGTGGGAATTGATGTGGACAGAGGGAGACGCGGTACTCACACGGGTGGGAATTGATGTGGACAGAGGGAGACACGGTACTCACACAGGTGGGAATTGATGTGGACAGAGGGAGACTCGGTATTCACACAGGTGGGAATTGATGTGGACAGAGGGAGACGCGGTACTCACACGGGTGGGAATTGATGTGGACAGAGGGAGACACGGTACTCACACAGGTGGGAATTGATGTGGACAGAGGGAGACTCGGTACTCACACGGGTGGAAATTGATGTGGACAGAGGGATACGCAGTACTCACACAGGTGGGAATTGGTGTGGACAGAGGGAGACAAGATATCCACACAGGTGGGAATTGGTGTGGACAGAGGGAGATGCGGTACTCACACAGGTGGGAATTGATGTGGACAGAGGGAGACGCGGTACTCACACAGGTGGGAATTGATGTGGACAGAGGGAGACGTGGTACTCACACAGGTAAGAATTGATGTGGACAGAGGGAGACGCGATACCCACACAGGTGGGAATTGATGTGGACAGAGGGAGACGTGGTACTCACACGGGTGGGAATTGATGTGGACAGAGGGAGACGAGATATCCACACAGGTGGGAATTGATGTGGACAGAGGGAGACGCGGTACTCACACAGGTGGGAATTGGTGTGGACAGAGGGAGGCGTGATACCCACACAGGTGGGAATTGATATGAACACAGGGAGACGCGGTATTCACACAGGTGGGAAGTCCCGTGGTGAG